CGACCTGCTGCGCCCTACTGGTCATGACTTCTCACTAGAACCCCAGGAAACTAACCCCAGGATCAGGTCCTAGTGTCTTAATGCTATACGAGCTCGCCTTGTAGCCAGAAAGTCCTGGGTTCTAACCCCGCAGCGTGGGTGTGTACTGATGAAGAGTCCCAAACTAGGCTGGCGAAACAGCTGGCTGTCCAGTACTCCTTGGCAGGTTTTCCAATGCTTCTCTAACTAATGTCAGCTCATAATGAAATCCTGAAATCAATCAAATCCCTACAAACCATCACTTGAACAATATTGTATAATCTTAATTTTCTTTAAACAAAGAGCTCATTATTATCGTCTTATGTGTTGTATAGAAGTGTACAACTCAACGTTGCTTGTACTTTAAGAGTACAAACCGACCACACACATACGCAAAAAAGAAGCAGTGTAAGGTTATAAAAAAAGAGAATTTTAAATTGTCTCCAACATTAACCATAACAACTATTAATGTTAATTATGATCACAGGAATCATAATGCTACTTTTACCCCTAATAATTATAATGACAATAGTAATAATAATAATAGTTCTAGTAGGACAAATTAACATTCTCCTAAACGTATTCTCCCCCCTTCCTCATCTTCCTAACCCACCTCCTCTATTATTCCAGTTCTTCAACAGAACAACTCTGTTACATAAGACTAATTAATGACGGCTGTGTTGTGTTTCTCTTTTTTCGTCAATGGCAAGATATAATATCTATAGTCCAATATTTCAGCTATTCTCCTCCTCTACATCTATTCTCTATTCTTCTTCGTCCAGTGTTTAGTTTAAAATTCAAAAAGGGGAATGCGCGCGCTATTTTTTGTTTTGTTTATTAAAAGAATGCATATATATATATATATTATTCCTATTGTCTATGTGTTAGTTAACTCCTTAGTTAACCTTAGTTAGGTGGTAGTATACCAACCAGTTCTCTTTTTGATTGGTGTGCGAGAATTTTTGTTGCTAAGGTGGATTAATTCAAACAAACAAATAAACAAAAGAATGAAAATATTATGTTACTTATTTATTTGTTTATTGTTTTCTCCTTGTGTGTGTGTGTTTGAAACATTCATGAATATACCGAGATACACACACACTCACGTACATGTAGAGCGAAGTGGAACTAGTGTGAATAACCTCCAAATTGGAAAATATTTTCGCTTTTCCCCACTTATCTATCTATCGCATGAACACTATACGAGACTGAATGGTTTAGTGTTTAGTGTAGTGAGGTGGAGTGGAGTGGAGTGGGGTAGATTAACGCTGATGGTGTCTTTTACCACCAATTACAATGATGATTTAGTAATCAATCTATTTCTAATTGCATTCTAGACACAGCTATGCTATTCGTTATCAAGAAGAATGAAATATATTCAGTACATTGACATTCATAGGATCCAATTATTGCATAAATACATTGAAATTAACCCCTTTATTACTCTTCTTTAGCTTGCTCACGATTACACATAGACTATCGTCTCCTCTTCACACGATTCCCTCCATGTCACCATCCGACTCACGCCCATATGGTCGTACCCTAATAGGGTTCCACACGATTGATGGCCTGGCGTGTTATGTCACTCAATGGTCTCCTCATTATGAGTCCGATCCATCTCAATTTCAAGTGTTGGTTTGTAAGGATTCGGTTGGTTACAGGATTTCATCATTTTTGATTGCAGCTTGATTCCACACTGTATTTTGGTACAAGTATGTAATTTTCAGCATGGATATCGGTAGCCCAAATTTCGCAGGCCGACCATAGATATCAGGTGTGCGCCGGCGTGGGCTCGAACCCCGGACCATGTGCATGGTCGGCGAGAGTCCTAACCACTGTGGCACCGACGCACATCATGAGCTGACATTAGTTAGAGAATGATTGGAAAACCTGGGAGTATTGAACAGCAGGTCGGGTGTGAGGAGAAATACTCGCCGAAGACATTGATTATGTCGTGAATTGGAAGAAGTTAGAATTCATGGGCTGGCCACTGGATCGGGTCCCAGTGGCTTAATGCTATACGAGCTCGCCTTGTAACCAAAAGGTCCTAGGTTCGAACTCCGCAGTGTGGGTGCGTACCGATGAAGAGTCTCAAACTAGGACGAAGTAGCTGTCCAGTATTCCCTGGTTTTCCAATGCTTCTCTGACTAATGTCAGCTCATGATGAAATTCTGTAACCATCTCTATTTCCTTCGGTATGCTTAGTGCTGCCTCCCAGAGTTTCGTATTGCTAAGTCTTTCTGGCCAGCTGACTATCTAATCTTCAGTATGGAGTCAACGAAGTGGGCGGCTGTTGATAAAAATTTCCTACAGTAGCTTGTTGGGAAAAGTTTTTCCTGATTAAAATTAATCCAGACCCTCACACATTTAATAATCTAAACGTCAGTCTTCAGCTTACTGATTACAACTGAATGGATGTCGTGATGCTGTAGTGAGAAATCGTGAGTCCACTGAGGCCAGTATGTATCACTGCATCATGAAGTGTCAGAAGCAGAAATTAAAAGGTCATTAAGTTTGTTAAATAATCAATGAATTTGTTCTTGTAAGCTGAAAGTCGTCGGTGCAATCCTTGCTGGTGGGGTTGTGTGTATGCACCCCTGAATAGTGTCTAAAACAAGGCCGGAATAACTATTCAGTATTCCTTATTGGTTCTCGCTGATATACCCAAATGTTGTTGATTCGTAACGAAATCCAAAATGGAATGAAGTAAAACACTAAATAACTAAGTAATTAGTTACAAGAGGCTATCTCAAAACCGAAATACTGACAGTTACTAATGGCATTTTTCTTTAGGGGAGTCAAAGAATTTTCAAATATCATCAGACATAAAGTCTAGGAGGTGATAATGGCCTCCAAAGCGCCGAACTATATCATCAAGCTAAACAAGAGGTCGACGATGATGAACACTCTATTGCATTTGGAGCGAAACGAGTGGCTTCAAACTTTGAGCTATAAAGTTTCAGTAGCAATATTACTATTCTTCCTAATGCAGCTGGGTTGTTTAGTCCCAATCTCATTCATTCCTCTCGTTCGGAATTTGCTCTCTGCTAACAAAGTAGACTAGGTCTGGGAATAGGTTGACCTGTAGTCGAATCCCAGAGCACAAGCGTGGCTGGAGAGCATCCTGCTACTGTAGCGCCGATTAGATAAACAGACGCAAAAGTGTACTAAAAATGAGATTAAAAGTGTGCAGACGGGAGAATTAAGCACAACAAATGTAAGCAAAGAATGTCAGCAGAAAATAAGTCAGTGTTAAGGTCAACAGCAATCAGCATCAAAAATAAGATCCGGATTTTCAACTCCAATGTGAAATCAGTGCTACTATACGGATCAGAGACTTGGCGAGTCATAAAGAGCATCTCAAACAAACTTCAAACCTTCATTAACAACTGTCTCCGATCAATACTCAAGATCAGATGGCCAGAAAAGATCAGCAACAGGGATCTCTGGGAGCGAACCAACCCAGCAGGAACCGATTGTGAAACAAATAGGCAGAAAGAAATGGAGATGGATTGGCCATACGCTGAGGAAACCATCAAGTGACATCACTAGACAAGCCCTCGAGTGGAACCCGAAAGGGAGGCGGCGAGTTGGTCGTCCAAGGGTGACTTGGAGGAGGTCATGCGGGGAGGAGATGAAAGCATGTGGACAGACCTGGAGCAGGGTGAAAAAGTTGTCAGAAAACCGAAGTCAATGGAGGTGCGCAGCTGAAGCCCTATGTTCCTCTAGGAACTAAAGGATACAATAATAATAATAAGGCACTTGTTAAGATCTGAAGATTGATACAAAAGAGGCTTTATTTAGTTATGGAGAATTCCTCACCTCTATTAAGAATTTTAGCCTTTGGTAGTCTATCTTGTTTAAAACAAATGTGGAGTCAGTCAATTCTTCTATACAGGTCAGAAACCTGCATTTCGTGTCACCGAAAACATTTCCAATAAGTTACAGACTTTCGTCAACAGATGCCGCTGTTTTTTGCATCGGTGGCACAGCGATAGAATATCCACCATGTGGTTTGGGGTTCCATTCCCGGCCACAGACGCACTCCTTTAACTAGCTGAGACAGTAATAAGACTGGTAGAGAGAGGGAAGGTTGGACATAAGGCTAGCAACCCCATCTCGTAAAAATAAACACCACTCTATCTTGAAGTCCTGTGTTCCTTTGGGAACGCAAAGGTTCAAAATTAAAAAAAAATAATAATCCACAGCCGCCCACTTCGCTGGCTCCATACTCAAGAGCAAATGGCCAGAAAGGATTAGTAACAAGAAACTGTGGGGGCGGAGAACCTCCCAAGAGCCGATTGCTTAACATATATGTAGAATGAGATGGAGGTAGATCGGGCTTACGTCAGGGAAACCGTCGAATGACATCTTACTTACTACAGGCAATGTGTGGCGAGGAAGAAGAGATGAGAGATTATAGACAATCGTGGAGCTAGCCAGCTGAATAGAACATCAGACAATAGAAGAAAGTGGAGTTGTGTTGTTGAAGCCCTGTGTTCCACTTGGAACCCAATGGAATAATAATAATAAATCTATCTTGTTAGCTCTTTTTTTGACTGCTATCTATGAGAAATTGTCTTAGTATAAAGTTATTCATCAGTGAACATCTAGGTTGGTGCTCATAGACTTCAGATAGGAGCATAAATAAACTCCTGAATGTTTGCTACTCGCATACAGTATTGATAATGACCCGACTAGGGCTTCATGTGATAAATTGTCCTTCATCGCAAGACGATGAAAGTTGAGGCTGTGCTTTGCATATCAACCCAGGGATTGAATATACCCTCGATCAATAAATGAAACAAGTGCATATCGAATTACATGAAATATAAATCACTCTAGGGTGCATAGAAGATGGTGAAGTATGTTGTGCTGTTTTTTTTAAAATTATTTTAAATTACATTCATGTCGACTAATTTTATCTCCTTTTTTATATTGATTTTAGGTACTTAGCTCATTAACAAGAAAACCAAATAAAAATGTTGTGTAATCTACCATGTCGAATTGTTTTGATAGCGATGAATACTGTCAGTATGGTAAGTTAGTTTTACTGAATATATATCTCATGCATGGGTTTGATTGCATAACCCTCTGATATTTCTATAAACTATTGATTTACTCATATTACAAAAGAAAGAACTACCCATGTTATATGATCAATGCACCATTGAATTATATTGAGTCAAATCGTGATCAAATTTGACTTGTGTGAATTTGAATTACCCGATAAAATATTTGTAAATTTCTAGGTTAATTACATAACCTAAAATTTCCTAGGATTTATTGATATTCTGTATGTGAGTAAGGTGGAAGTGTTTAATTAGAAGATTGATTCGCATGTGCCATTAATCCATTAGGGGTCATTTTTGGATCTGGTTCAATTGTTAGATGATCTATTTTTAAGAAATTTGGAAATCGACTTTGAGAACAACTTGTTCGCTGATGACATTAACGAATCGTAAGCTGACAGAAAATGTAATTTACAGCATATTTCATTCCGTCAAAGTGATTCGTTAATCGATGGGATCACCACATGACTTGCAGATCCTAGGTTTAACTTCTTTTGGATTATGGAGGGGGTGAAGTGGTGGGGGAGCTGCTTATTAGACGCTGAATTACAATAGTTCTCTAAATGATGCTACTTTGTAACCTAACCAAAAGACACTCGACTCTTAGAAATCAACATTTGGGTATATATGTTAGGAACCGGCTACCTCTGTCAAATAATATATGGAAAGGTAACTCACAGGCGAAAGTCATTGTGAAGAATTGAAGGTTTTTTCACTCCTTCATATGTTCCAGTAGAAAACTATCGTAAAACACATTCTGAGATGTAATTTTGATGGATGGTGACTATAACTGTAATCCAAGATACACATCCAGCCGTACTCGAGAGTCCTCAGACGAATGTATCTGCAGTGATCAGTGATTGACGATGGTTTCTCCCTGTGAAACTGGAAACCTACATCCGTCGACTCCAGTGTCGAAGTAATATCCACAAAAGACCACTTGGGCCACGATAGCCACCTCTTGTACTTTAGGCATTAGTTGTTATTGACTTAAGTGATTCATTGATTTTCCCGTTGACTGATTAGACCGGAATGTTCAGCTTTCAGGTTAATCCTCAAACGATTCCTGACTTTATAATATCTGAGATAAAGGCTTAATATCATCTACTGTCGTTATTCTACGGTTGTCCTAACGATCAATAATTATGGATTTAATTCCTGCCAGTTAAGACTCTGTTTTAGAATCTCGAGAAATCTGTTTTGAAGGTAATCACTGAACGTCAAGTTATGAGGGAATCTCCTTGATTTCAAGAAATGTAGATTAACTAAGATCGACGTAATATATATACTTCTGTGTCGCATATCACTTTCGTTATTTACCTCATTAAAAAATGAACATATATATATATATATATATATACATTTTCTCCCATTTTTATTTCTGTTTCAAGGTGGCAGGGTTGATTTTGCTGACAGTTGGAGCATTAATGGTTTGGGGACAAAGTGTTATCCAATCATTGTTGAACAATTTTATCACCTCTTTGATTAATCAATATCTCAAGGGTTCGGATGCATTACAAATTACTGAATTAGTTACACGTATACTGACATCAACATGTAAGTGTAGTGTATGTACTGAGTGTGCTGGTTGATTGAAGTTTCTTTATGATTATGATTTATTGAGATATCTGTAAGAAGGATTGACTGCTTGGATTGTAACTTGATCGGATTTTCAGTAATCTCAGATCTTAGAACTGTCTGCCTACTTATCCATGTCACAGTGTGATCATAAGGAATTTCTATATAACATCAGACGATTGTGTAGAGTTTGCGAAAAGATTCCTGTACTTAATATATAATACTACAGAATTACTATCTCTTTTCTACGATTCTAAATAAATAGCCCTGAGTATGTCAGTGGTAGCGCGAATCTCTTCAACCTTTCAGAAGGAGGTGGCTATAAAACCAAAGAACAATGGATACGTGTTTCATAACACACAAGAGATTATGAAAAATACTGTATTGGACGAAGCCCAATGCTGATATATATACATATTGAGGAGTGTTCGCATACGAAGTCGTAGACTGAAACCTGGTATTCTTCATTCTGTGACTTCTGTCACTGCTTGAAAAGCAGTAAAAACCAACGTAGACTCTGTCCGGATTCTCTGAAATCCCTGAAAACCAAGGGACACAGGGGAAGTTATTTCGAGCTAGTGAGAGACTTTTCAGTAGTGAACGATCAAAACCACACCAGTGATCGAATCAAAAGCCTGCAAATTATTGACAGTTCGGAGCATCCACTGAACACTCAACATGGCGGTGGGTTTTCACTGGAACTTTAGGATACCCATCTTGTATCCACTAATAGGCAATCAAAAACCCACATATGATTCGTTTGATTCCCTCAGGGCTTGAGAAAATCTATCACGATGTCGTTTTTAAATTGGCGTTAGCTAGTCGTTCTGCCTCGATCCACCCGTCAATAAGAACATCATTACTCAATAGAATGCCTGGGAATAACAGCTATTGTGAGGTGTTTTCGTCACAGCAAATATTCCAGCTGCATAAAAGGATTGATTAAGCAACACTTAACTGATATTGACTCGAGAGAAAACTTGAAACCTTGAAAACAGTCAAATGTGTAAAACCTGGAATAATGATTACAGCAATCTCGTCTAAGGACATAATACAAAGCCACCACATAACACCCAACAACCACCTGAGGAAATTCAAATTGTAATTGACCGCCTCCATCGTTTTTATTCAAGTATACTGAAATGAAACAGCAACAAGTTTGTTTCTATTTTCAAAACTTGGTTTGGACGGATTTGATCGGTTTCAAGTTTGATGGAGAACAGATATCAGTTAGAGAACCATTGCAAACCAAGAAGTGCTAGGCAGCTATTAGCCACTGGAACCGGATTCAATCGCCTATGGATTTCAAATTCTACCAATTCGTGACTTTGGCGCAACTAGCACCAATCAATGTCATCAGTGAGCAATTGTATTAACCCCCAACCCGAAGGTCGAGGCAACCTAATAAGTCACTAGTTATATAACCTTCATTCCTCAATCAAGTAGAATACAGGGTAACCTAAAATCATGACTCCTAAACATGACAGTGTGGCGTACCAATGAATGACACTCACTACAGAACTCATAAAATTATGCCTTACAACATACTTCCAGTTCAATACTCAAATATATGAACAAATAAAAGGAACACCAAAGGGATCACCCATATCAGGATTAATAGCTGAAGCCATCATGCGAAGATTAGAATTAATAGTTCTACCTTTAATGAAACCGAAAATCTGGGTACGTCTCGTTGATGAGACATTTGTAATAATTAAGAGAAATGATTTAGAATATACCCATAAATTAATAAACAACATATTTGAAGACATCAAATTCACCACGAGAGAAGAAGAATTAGATCACAAAATCCCATTTTTAGATGTCTTAATCGGGAAATTTAGAAACACAAGTATATATAGAAAATCAACGCACACAGATCAAATGCTCAACTATACCAGCAATAATCCAATTACTCACAAAAGAAACTGTGTGCAGACATTGTTTAAAAGAATTCAAACACAACATTGTAGCACTCCAGAGTTGAAAAGAATCGAAGAAAAATTCATACAAACGGTCTTCAAAAAGAATGATTATCCACGAAATTTCATCAAAAAGTGTTTAAAATTTAATCACAAGACCAATAAGGAACCATCATCAAAGACCAAAAGAAAATTTATCCTACCATACATGGGAAATATCTCTGAAATAACAGCTAGAATACTGAAACCGTTTGATATAGATATAGCACACAAGTCAGTCAAATCACTTAATTCGATATTATGCAAATTGAAAGACCCATCCAACAGAAAAAGGAGATAAAATTAATACTATTTACAAAATAAATCGCATGTATGAACTGTAACAGACATTACATCGGCCAAAGTGGGCGTCCTCTTCGAATCAGAATCCAGGAACACAAATCAGCCGTGAAAAGACATGATATATATTCCTGTTTCATATCAATTATTATTATTATTGTATCCTTTAGTTCCTAGAGGAACATAGGGCTTCAGCTGCGCACCTCCACTGCCTTCGGTTTTCTGACAACTTTTTCACCCTGCTCCAGGTATGTCCACATGCTTTCATCTCCTCCTCGCATGACCTCCTCCAAGTCACCCTTGGACGACCAACTCGCCGCCTCCCTTTCGGGTTCCACTCGAGGGCTTGTCTAGTGATGTCACTTGATGGTTTCCTCAGCGTATGGCCAATCCATCTCCATTTCTTTCTGCCTATTTGTTTCACAATCGGTTCCTGCTGGGTTGGTTCGCTCCCAGAGATCCCTGTTGCTGATCTTTTCTGGCCACCTGATCTTGAGTATTGATCGGAGACAGTTGTTAATGAAGGTTTGAAGTTTGTTTGAGATGCTCTTTATGACTCGCCAAGTCTCTGATCCATCCGTATAGTAGCACTGACTTCACATTGGAGTTGAAAATCCGGATCTTATTTTTGATGCTGAGTGCTGTTGACCTCCACACAGATTTGAGAGTAATGAAAGCTTGTCTTGCTTTTCCGATTCTGGCTTTGATGTCCTCGTCAGTTCCGCCTGTAGTTGAGACGATGCTTCCCAGGTAGGTGAAGGAGGTTGTTTCTTTCAGGTTCTTCCCATTTATGCTTATTGTGGTCTGTTGGTGTTGTTGATGTTGGCTAGGAATCTTCATCATCTCTGTTTTATCTATGTTCACGTGAAGTCCTATCTTTGATGCTTCTTCTGCCAACTTGTTACTTTTCACTTGCATATCTTCCAGTTTATGGGAAATCAGACATATATCATCGGCGAAATCCAGATCCTCCAAGTCTTTTGTGTCAGTCCATTTTATGCCTGTTCCCTCGTTGGTTGCCGTTGTCTGTCGCATTATCCAATCAATTGCAATCAGGAAGATCATTGGTGATAGTAGACAGCCTTGCCTCACTCCCGTCTTCACTCCGAAGGCTTCCGTAAGTTTCCCGTTGTGGATTACTTGGCATGCAGCATTGTCGTATAACTGTTGGATGAGGTGTATAATTGTCGATGGGACCCCGTAGTAGCGAAGTAGTTTCCAAATGACCTCTCGATCGACGCTGTCGAAGGCCTTTTCAAAGTCGATGAAGTTGAGATAGAGAGGTGACTGCCATTCCAAGCTTTGTTCAATGATGATCCGTAGAGTGGCGATTTGATCAATACATGATTGTTTCATATCAATGCATGTGGATAATTATAGACATCAGTTTGATAACTGGGATAATGTTGAAATCTTAGACAGAGGAAGCACCAAAAGTGCAGTCGGGGAATTCCTAGAAGCCTGGTACTCAAACGAAAATGCAATTAACAAACACGTTAATATGGACCAAATACACCAACTAATAAAAAGTAAATAATCAGGTGACCAGAAAGTTTAAAATCCAAGTCAATAGAAAATGATCAATACATATGTAAAAATGGTTACCAGGAGAGACAATTATATCATCATTCATGGAGATTTTAAATCATTTCACTTTATGCTAAATATTGCGCCGAGAGGGGATGTTGTCCAGCAGGGGGACGACGAAAGCTCCGCAATTAAACCAACCAGTCAGCTCAGAGAACACTATTAATTGCAACTCACTACACTATCCAATCATCCCAGTAGTTACGAAAGTAAACTTAACCTTCATTCGAATCCTTGTAATCACTGTGCACCATATCGAATGAATAACCATCAACATAATCGACGCCTCAACGATGTCTGAAGATCAGTATGATTTGGGATTCACCATGAGGATTTTGTCTTGGGCGGGACTTATCACACGGATTTATCTACAATCCTTAGGGAGTGAGTGACTGCGTTCCCACTGGCACTTGGACTCACAGTCCACTAGACCGCTGGGCCACAACGGTTCACCGCTTTTACAACAGGTGCCAACTATTGTTTTTCTATTCTCCTTGTTTCCAAATAGAGTTATTTCCTAGAAATTTTTCTATTACCACTGTGAAAATATGTTTTCTATGTATATTCTCTTTCCTAAGTTTTATTTTACATGTTATATATAATTATTTTTATATTTATGGTAGGCATAAAGCATATATGTGTGTATATAAATATGGGCACGCCTCTTTTTATCATATGTATGAATCATAGTAATCGCCTGTATAAATTTATTTCCAAAGCTCTGAAAATAAAGGCATAAACATCAGTGAAAAACACGATAGTTCTAAATTCTAGGATAGAAATAAACATTTCTCATCAACTAGAATCATTCAGTGTTCAACGCTTAAAATACTCTGATGGGGTCTGATTTCCCCCCAAAAAAGACATATCGAAATCAGTTATTGGTTTTGTAGGGATTTTTTTGATTGGTTAGAGAACCACTGAAAAACCAGCTGTATTGTACTGGACAGCTGTTTCATCTTGGTTTGGGACTCTTCATTAGTGCACATCCACCTCACTGGGGTTTGAACTCACGACCTTCTGGTTAAAGGCTAGCGAGGTAGTAAACCATTAAGCCACTGGGACTCGATTCAATGGCCACTCCATGAATTCTGACTTCTGCCAATTCACGACATAGCGCCACCACTTCGC